ACATCTAGATGTGTATAAGAGACAGGCCGCACACTGAACCAACAATTTGCAGGTTACCCAAATGATGTTCCAAGCCTTCAATTCGGTCATTTGCAGATGACCCACGTGGTCTACACCTTGCAAGGCATTTTGCCATTTTATATATGGTCGAGCTGAATATAGCACAAATACTTAGTTAGATTCATCCAGAAATAGCCCGTCCAAAGTAGTAGGAGTAGCAGCAGTAGTAGAAGAAGAGGAAGTACAGGGGGGGGGGGGGGGGGGGGAGGAGGAACACCAGGGATCCCAAGAAGGAAAATGGTTCGGGATTGCTACCTTGACGGGAGAGAATTCTGAACCCCTATCTTTTTGGCCGCACTCTTCTTCTGGCTGCAGTTTCTGAAATTCCCTGGGACTTTCAGCCTCGTCACTCTGCAGAGGCTGTACTGAGCGCTGCTTTGAAGTTTGAATTGCTTTCGCACCAGGATTGCTACCTTGACGGGAGAGAATCCTGACCTCCTAACTTTTTTCCTTACCCTTTTTCCTGCTGTTGCCCAGGAGGCCTGGAGGTGTTGGAAGAGGATGATAGGCATCTGTACTCGCAGATCTCATCTTGGCCATCGTATCTCTGAAGGGCTCCTCCGCATTGTAAGTGCTCCTTGGATGGATTTTGAGCCCCTGTTTTTCGTTTCTTTTCCTTTCTTGTTTCAACTTGTTAAGTGAATACTAAATAACAAAAATATTATTTTGCAAGGTCTAGACTCTATAGTACTCTATACTGTATTTTGTGGATGGTGCGAGGTCCCACTAGCAAAAAGGAGGATTCAATTGAGCTCCTGAATGTGGACGTATTTAAAGTAGAGCTGCAGAAAAGCAATTCCATCTTGATTTTCTGCACCTCTCCAACAACACGTCCAGATTCAGGAATTTCATCCAATTTTGCAAGTGGGACCTCGCCCCACGGACCTGAAGGGGTTCAATCTTCAAAAGCTGCTCATGGATTGTACGCCAGGGCTGTGTCATAGGGTTTGAAGAGTCGATGGGTCCATTCGAGGATTTTGAGCCCCGAACTTTGTTCTTCGGGGGTTCTCCAAGCCACCAGGGGCATGTTTGTGTGTGCCGGGATGATGTGATTTTGACTGTCGATCTGCGAAATCAATGGTCAGAAATGGTTAATCCTGGCTATGAAGGGTACTCGAATCATATGGGGKGGGGGTTGGGGGGGAGTGGGGGGGGTCGCGCAGGTTCTGACTTGAACCGGTTCATGCTCCTGCCAAACCATAGACATTGAAGTCCTTAAACCACCAAACCATATGCGGCTTGTTTGCCGCCGCATTTTTTGGGGTTTTAGGGGTACCGGACCGAGACGGCTGGCGGCGCCAGCTGAAAGCAGGCCTGTGGCGGTTCGTTTTCTTCAGTGCTCAGTGCGAATTTAGGCGTGGCATCCATAGCTGGGCGGTGTACTGGTGGTTTAAACAGCGAGTACACGGCCCCATCCTTGCAGAAAATCACACGTTGGCAACTCCAAAATTTTTGCGGGTAGGGGCTTCTGGAGTCTGGACTACTATGGCTGGCGCCGCTAGCCCAAAAAGAAAAGAAGCGCACAGCTGGCGGTTCGGGAAAGCTGGGTGAGCAGTGCAGCACCTCCAGGCCTGGGGTGTATTGGTGGTGGCTTAAAGCACCAGTACACCTGGTACACCATACATAAGCCTGCGGGTGGCACCGTGTAACCCGCAGGACTTCGAAGGCCGCATTGTTTTTGGTTTCAACGGCCCCCCATGCAGCACGGCCCCCTCCGAGTTTTGCTTGTGGCGACAAAAACTTTCTGCAAGGCTGGGTCCGTGTACTGGCGGTTTAAAGCCATGCGCACGATGAAGTGGAATACCGAGTTATGAACCCAGGTGCCAACAGATCAGGTGGTTTGGGACGTGAAACGGTGAGAAACTGTGGTCTCTTGGGAGCACGACAGTCAGCACTGTGAGCACAGTAGGCATACTCAGACCTGTACTGGTCTCGGCGTTTCACGGCCCAAACCACCTGATCTTTTAGTACCTGGGATCATAACACTTGAATTTTCTACTTCGCCAGACATTCAAGTGCTATGGCCAGCCACACAAGAAAAACAAAAGCAGAAAAAAGGCATGGTTACCATCCGGACGTCCGGATCCCATTCTGGACCGTCCGCGTCTGGATGTCGGGGGGCACATCTGGTCCGGTAGGTCTGCAATAAAATATATATTTCAGCCTCCTGATGAGTCGGTGAAACTCCGACGAAACCGTTTGCCACAGCCCCTCGTTTGTTGTCCTCTTCTCCCTCTCTGCCTACGGTTTACCGGGCAGCTCTGTTTGACTCTCTCTCTCTCTCTCTCTCTCTCTCTCTCTCTCTCTCTCTCTATATATATATATATATATATATA